GTGGTGGAAATTGAATGTAGGGCTTTTTTTGTTAAAATTTCAACTTCTTTTATCATTATAGAGTTTAATAGTGTTGGACGGTAGTGGTGAAAGAAGGGAGAAGAAAAAGGTAGGGAGGGGTGGATGGTGGTAGTTTGGAACAATGGTGATGAATGATGGTGGTAATGGTTGTTTATTGTGGTGGTAATAGTGATAGACATTTTTCTATTTAAATAACTATATAATAATTAATATAAATTTTAATTAACCAAAAAGAAAAGATAAAAGAAATTAAAAAGGGTAAATAAGTCTTTTTAGGTGGGTGAGAGCAACCATAATATAAATTGAAACCACGAGACCCTTTTATGAGACCGAAAAAAATTATGAATTAATATTGATATTTTAAAAAACCATAGGGACCATTTATGTAGAAACTTATGGATTAACATATGTATCAATAAAATACTGAGCATCCGAATTGAATCAGATGCTTTGGAACCAAAGTGATATAGTGGAAACAGGTAGAACAAAAAACTAGATCGGTAAGTGATGCATGTTGTGCACCATTTTTCATTCGATTTGATCGTCATTCGAATCGAATCTGATGCTTTAGAACCAACCAAAACTGATTTAGTGGAAACATGTATACCGAAAACCAAATCGGTAAGTGATGCATGTTGTGTTTCATTTATCATTCAATCCGATCATCTGGGCATACCAAGCATACATCGATAACGGTACAACATATAAAATAGTCATAAAGCATAAAGCATGGTTCACTAATATGACTGACTCTTAAAAATATGATATGGTTGAGATCAGATTGAATGATAGTCATATTGGTGAACAATTTTTAAGAGTCGGTCATAAAGCATTTCCAAAACTTAACCTGCAACTTTCATACCAATTCACCTTCAACAATGTGATAGAAAACAATTATTGATTATTTTAGCAATAGATGAAAAAAAAAATGAAGTGAGAAAGGTTCAGCTATGTCATATTTTTAAGAGAGGAGGATAAAACATTTTAAAAAAATGGAGTTAGAGTGGCTAGCCACGTCATATTTTTAAGATATAAAGCATTTCAAAACTCAGCCTGCAACGTTCAAATCTCATGCATCTTCAACAATGTGAAAGAAAACGATTATTGATTATTTCCGGACTAGCCTACTAGGTGAATCTCCATACAAAAAAAATAGAAAAAGCTGTTGAAAAGAAAAAAGAATGGGGTGAGAGAGGCTCGAACTCTCGACCTCAGGATAACTCAGATATAGCTATGAGACCTACGCGCTAGCCAACTGCGCCACCACCCCAACGTGTTAAAATCTCCTTCAAGAGCTTTGACATTCTTGAAAAGTAGTATATCAGTATATACATCTAGATAAAAAACAGAACATAGTAAAACTCGAATCAAGTACATAATAATAAAGAATTTTTTAGTTTCCACTGCAAAAACGGTATTGGTTTCTCGTAGATTCCTTTGTCAACAAGAAGTTACTCTTATGATTTCGTAAGTGTAAAAGGACACTTATTTTATAATAATATATATGGTAACATACTAGTAATATACCCCCAAAAACAGGTACCTCACCTCGCCATCAAGATTGTTGAACAATGATTTGTTTTTTCTTTGAAATTCACTTCTTCCAAGAATAAATCATGTATCAAGACTCTAAAAATTTAAAAGTACCTATTTATTTACCCTTCTTTTTCACAAAATTTTACTCTCTTTTCTCAATTTGTCACTTCCAATCACACAAATATATAGCATCCTCATTTCTACTCTATTATTTTTTCTGAAAAATCAAAATTTGTCAAACGATCATCATAATCTCATCCAAAAGTGCCTCCTACAACCTGTCTTACAACTAATTATCATATTCTTTCTGATCACATTCAACATCACAAAAAACACCTAAGCATCAACAATTATTCATAAGTCAAAAACCATTTGCAGCAAAAATCTCTAAAAATGGAGTGGATCATTACATCGAACCACAAACCAAACCAAATAAAATGGAGCAATTCATCACCACGTCCATTATTTATTAGCCCTTAAACACGCTTCCTCCACCAATTGTGCTGCAACTCCAACATAATTGTGAGGAGTTAACTTTAAAAGCTCTGTTTTTGCTTCAACCGGTATTTCCAACCCATTTATAAACTCAGTAATCCTCTCTTTATCAACCACTCTTCCTCTTGTAAGTTCCTTCAGTTTCTCATATGGCTCCTCAACACCATATCTTCTCATCACCTACACACACACACACAAATCATAAAAAAAAAAAAAAACAATAACAAAACTCATTTGAATTAAACCAGATAGATAGATAGATAGATTAGATTCATACTGTCTGTATTGGTTCAGCAAGCACCTCCCATGAGTTGTCAAGGTCCTTGTTTAAGGTTGCTTCATTCACCTATCAAACACAACCATTAAGCAACCTATTTTTTTACAAATTCAATTAAACTTTTTATGAACCTGAAGCTTTCCGATTCCCACTATTGCACTTTTGTAAGCAAGAAGTGAATAACCCAACCCCACACCAATGTTTCTCAGAACAGTAGAATCAGTAAGGTCACGCTGCCAACGAGAAACAGGAAGCTTCATGCTTAAATGGTCTAAAATTGCATTTCCTATTCCAAGATTGCCCTCACTGTTTTCAAAGTAAATCGGGTTGACTTTATGAGGCATAGTGGATGACCCTATTTCACCAGCCTTAGTCAACTGCTTGAAGTAGCCCACAGAGATATACCCCCACATGTCTTTATCAAAATCAAGCAAGATGTTATTAAACCGGATAAATGACTGGAATAGTTTCGCCATGTAGTCATGCGATTCAATCTGCATTGTTCCAGATATATATATATATTAATAAATACTTGTTTTCTTCTTCTTTTTTTTATAACTAAAAGACTAATAAGGAAGGAATAAAGCATGCATACCTGTGTTACATGTGGATTAAAGCTTAATCCAAGAGAGTTTACAAATTGCTCGGATATTCGTGGCCAATTTACATCAGGATATGCTACAACATGTGCATTGTAGTTCCCAACTGCACCTGCAAACTTTCCTAATATTTCTACTCTAGAAATATCTTCTCTTTCTCTCCTTAATCTTTCACCAAATATCACCATTTCCTTTCCCAATGTAGTAGGTGAAGCTGGCTACAGTATTACAAAATATAAAAGTTCTATAAGATTTGAGAATTGAGATTCTACAGTTAACAATAATTTTTTTTACAAACCTGTCCATGAGTCCGGGAAAGCATTGGAATGTAAGCATAGGTTTTTGCCATGGTGTATATTGCATTGATTAAGTCATCCATGATAGGAAGAATGACTGTGTTAACTGATTCTTTTAGCATAAGTCCATGAGCAAGGTTGTTTATGTCTTCAGATGTACACCCGAAATGGAAAAACTCAAGCACTTTACCAATCTCTGGATCTTCTTCACACTTTGTTTTCAGAAAATACTCAACTGCTTTCACATCATGATTAGTTATTTTCTCAATATTCTTGACTTGCATTGCATCAGCATCACTGAACCCATCAATCAGTCCTTGTAGTTTTGTTTGAGCTTCATTGCTAAAGCTTGGAACCTCAGATACTTGAGGAATCTGTGAGAGCTTTAGCAGCCACTTCACCTGAGGGTTTCAAGGTACAAAAATAATAAACACAACATTGAGAAGAAAAACAAATGGAAGATGAAATAAGCATAATAAACATTGTACCTCAACCAGGGTGCGATAGTAGATAAGGCCATATTCACTCAAATAAGGGGCTAAATCCTTCACAAAATTCCGATAACGCCCATCCAAAGGACTTATGGCAGTTAAACTTGAGAGCTCCATCTCAGAAGGCGTCACTTTTACCTGAAAATCATATGTAATCTTTCAGGCAAAATAGTCTTACATGGAAAGAGAACAAGAAAAGGTTCAGCAAAAGCAAATAGAGACTAATAGTTCAGTCAACATAAATATGATGATAAATAAAGTAATAGGAAAAGCCGAAAAGGCCTTACCTTTTCTACAGCTTCAATATTGTTATTGGCTTCCTTCAAAGTCGCTTTGCAAATGGATTTTTTGCGAGGAAGTGTTACAAAAGATGAAGCACTTGAAGTACGGTTTTGGGTTGGAATAGATTGTTCATGGAGGTAACTTGCACGAGTTAAGAATGATGCTTGACAGCTGCCATTTTGAACTCTAATACAAGATCCGATTTCCATGAATACGTAAAAGAGCTTCAAGAGAAATGATGTCTAATCAGAATGAATTCTAATACAACAGAAATTCTTAACTTTTTCCTGTGTAAAATGCATGCATTAACCGATCCATAACCCGCAAAACAATTCACAAAGCTTCTATTTGTATATCATTAAATGAATCTATGAGTTCATCAAAATTTCAGACTTGCATGCAAATTCAAAGTGTAATTCGTTGTATCTGAATTGAGAGAATACCATTGACATAAAAATCTTTTGAACAGAGCAGCAGATTGTTAAACAGAAACGTAATACCAGGCTACAGATAATATGTAAGAAAAACAACTAAACCCCCTTCAAATTTACCATAAACCCTAAAGAATACTTCAATTTGTTCCAAACTTAGTCAAAACTTGAACGAGTGTGTGAACGAAGAGTTTAATAGAGAGCAAGAAAGAACACTCACGATGGAGTTAAAGGAAAGGGGAAGCGGAGGAGAAGACCAAAGAAGAACAATCACGATCAGGCCCGGCGGCTTAAAGGTGGCGAGAGAGCAATCAGCAGTATGAAAGTACACTTGACGATGGCGTATGTTGAGGAGGCGTTCTTGTGTCGCTTGACTGCTTGTGTTCTTGAGGAAGACGATGGTCGACTGTAGATAGTTGCTGTGTGCGAACTGCGAAGACTGAAAAGCCCAAGTTTTAGATTCTTGGTGGGAATATTTGTCTATTTGGGCCAACTGGGCCTTCACTTTAAAAAAAAATCAGCCCAGTTTATATTACGAAAACAACTGTCGATGAAAATTGATTGCAGGGTCTCCTCTCATGAGCATTGAATCCCGAGAGCCACATAAATCTTTAGACGATGGGTGATAAACCTCACCCCCATACTCTTCAATCAACCCCATATCTATCTATTCAATCATTGCCACGTGTCATCTCCATCGTTGCTTGCTTATCTGCTGAAAGAACTCTTTCTTCAAAAAACACAACCAAACTCAATAACACTCTCCTTCTCCTCCTGCTTCTGCTTCAAAGCTTAGAAAACCAGATAAAAAATGGAGACTGGGGTAGCATGCTTTGCACGTGCGACAATCTTGCCAAGTGTTGCTTCTCAACATACAACAAGCTCATTTGCCTCTCCACGCACTATTTCCCCTTCTTTCACCACCAGAGTATGCTTCAATTCCATTCCTTTTTTCTGTTTCTTTTACTTTGAAGTTTGAATTGCCTCCAAATTATGAGTTTAGTACTTTCGTTTCGTATGTAAAATGCTTCAAAGATGAGGTCTTTTACACAGACATAATTACAGTTATCCCTTTTTGCAGAGTTTAAAATCAAGCTCGTTATTCGGAGAGGCTTTGCGGGTGATGCCAAGATCGTCACTCAAGGTTTCGAAGTCACAAAATTCCTCAGTCGTAACCAAATGTGAAATCGGTGAAAGTCTGGTGAGTTTATCTATCGTTCATACTAAAAAGCCTGTAATGGGAATTCTTGTGTGAGGTCAATCTGATATTGGAATTGTAAACTTTTTGTAGGAAGATTTCCTATCAAAAGCAACACCCAGACAAGGGTTTGATCAGATTGCTGACGTGTATGAGCGAAGCTATTAGGACCATTGCGTTTAAAGTCCGGACCGCTTCTTGTGGTGGCACAGCCTGTGTTAACTCCTTTGGTGATGAACAGCTTGCCGTCGATATGCTTGCCGACAAGCTTTTGTTTGATGTATATTTTCATATAATTGATTATAACTTCAGAGGCAAACTTTATTCAATTTACTGAGAAATTTTAAGCGTTTTGAATTTGGGTTGTAGGCATTGACTCACTCGCATTTCTGCAAATATGCTTGCTCCGAAGAAGTTCCCGAGCTTCAAGACATGGGTGGTCCAGTCGAAGGTCAAAATCTTACAGATATTCATTCGTCATTTTAAATCAAAAAAAATCACAAACGATGCTCGATTTAATTTATATTTAGATCACAATTGAAACAAATATGAATTGAAAAACAGGCGGGTTCAGCGTCGCGTTTGATCCCCTTGACGGGTCCAGCATTGTGGACACCAACTTCACCGTCGGCACCATTTTTGGCGTGTGGCCGGGAGATAAACTAACCGGAGTCACCGGAGGAGACCAAGTGGCTGCAGCCATGGGGATTTATGGACCTCGAACCACTTATGTTATTGCCATCAAGGGTTTCCCTGGAACCCATGAGTTTCTTCTTCTTGACGAAGGTAAAAAAAAAAATGATAATTCTACTGTTACTGCTTACTATTGTATAACCAATCATTTAAAGTAGCCAATTTGGATGCTCAGGTAAATGGCAGCATGTGAAAGAAACCACAGAAATTTCAGAAGGGAAGATGTTTTCCCCTGGAAATCTGAGAGCCACTTTTGACAATCCCGATTACGACAAGGTCTTAATTAAACCTTCAAAGATTCGATCAAAATTTCATGAAATTGTCAATTTTTAGCATTGTTTCTAAAAAGATTCGATCATTGAATGCAGCTGATCAACTACTACGTAAAAGAAAAGTACACTTTAAGATACACCGGTGGAATGGTGCCCGATGTTAACCAGGTGGGTAGATATATTTCTTCATATCTTGATGATAAGGAGGGAGGACATTTACTTTTTGTGACATTCATTCTAATGTTGATTTGTTTACAGATAATTGTGAAAGAAAAGGGTGTTTTTACAAATGTGATATCACCAACAACAAAAGCGAAGCTAAGGCTTCTCTTTGAGGTGGCTCCTTTGGGACTATTGATCGAGAATGCAGGAGGTTATAGCAGTGATGGGACACAGTCTGTGTTAGATAAGGTGATTGTGAATCTTGATGATCGGACTCAAGTAGCTTACGGGTCGCTAAATGAGATCATAAGGTTTGAAGAGACACTATACGGGTCATCTAGGCTCAAGTCTGGTGTGCCTGTCGGAGCTTCAGCTTAAAACTCCATATTTGTTTTGTAAACATGTATTATTGTTAAGATCTCTAAATGAATTTTTCCAATCATATATAAATTTATATTCAATGTCAAAAACTATATTCAGAGAACATTTTCTAATTTTGAGCTTATTAGTTCACGATATAATAGTGTGTAATATAATTGTTAAACCTAACAAATAAAAAACTAAATCGCGCCAGGTAGGGGTCGAACCTACGACTTTCTGCTTAGGAAACAGACGCTCTATCCACTGAGCTACAGGCGCTTGATGTTTACTTATTCCATTAAGAATCCCATTACAACTTCTAATCAATTCTCACCATGGAATCATATTACAATGTAAAAAAAAAAATTTATCGAGTATCATTCCTTTACAATAAATACTTGTGATTCACCTAATAAATCGTTTTCCCACATCTTTAATAAATTCTCCTTGGATCCCAGACGTTGGTGATAGTGGGAATAAATGATGACGTATGAATCATACGTATTTTTGATGATTTATGTACTGATTTGTCACCAACCCTTTTTGAAGTAGTATGAAGGAAATTAATGATGACCAAAAGAAGTGTAAATGCACCTTTGGTACTAGTTGTAGTAGTAGTTTCCTCTTTCCACTTGACTCCTTTATTTTTTTTTTCCTTTTGCCTTTCACTAATTTCCCTCAAATAATTGCTCATGGGCTCAATTGCTTGATTTTTCATACCCACTTATAATTTACATTCAACTTTAAAGTCCAATCTTTGTCACACAATGTTCTTTTAAACTTTCCAAAGAAGTGGATTTCGTCATTTAGGTGTCGCTACACTGAATACCTCATGTTTCATACATTTATAGAAATGTTATAAATTGAATACGACACCATGGTCCACCTTTTTGTTTCAGTTTGATTCTTTTTATACGCATATACATTAAATCGGTGTACTAATAACTAACCCTCCGTTTCCTATCTTTGTCTTGCATTGCCCTTTCGATCTACTAAAGAAGTGTGTTTCATCATTTTGTTGTCCGTATATGAAATACCCTTATGCTTTTATATATTTATAGATTTATTGTTAATGTTTCAATTCAGGCCCACCTTCAATTCCAATTCCATTCTTTTTCTAATAAGAGACATTAAGTTATTTTTATTCATTTATTTATTTATTTATTTATTTATCTTTACTTAATTCACATGTAACAAAATCCAAGTTATGAGGATAATCCTTCAATAAACTACTTCTTATCTAGACATTCATTAAAAACCATGAACTAGGGATTTATATAGAATTCGGATTCTTTCGAATCACTTGATTAAAAAAGGTGTCTTGAGTATATACTAGATACTAACCTTTGTTTCCAAGCATCGATTTGTTATTAAAAAAAAAAAAAAAAAAAAAAAAAAAAAAAAAAAAAAAAAAAAAACATTGGTTGTTTAACAACAAAATTTTATGTAACAAATTGAGTATCAAAGTATCACGTGTTATCTACAATGAATATAAATAAATATATAAATAATACACATTTGAATCATGAGTGCATGGGAAAAAGGGTACTACCATTACAAAAAATGAAAATTATTTGCCACTAGTTCACAAAAGAAGTTTTAGAATTTTCTTTCTCCTGTAAAGGCTTTTGTAGGAGCAATAATTATACAAGAAATGAAAAGGCAAAGGGATCATTGTCATGCCAAATCTTTGCTAACTTTTGAATGCAATCATAAAAGATGCTTGATTTTTTTTAAAGTAAATCCCTCAAGAGTAGAGCAGCCATAGTAAAATACTTCAAAAAATCACACAATCCACCACAAATCTTTGTATATAAGTAGCAGAGAATCAGACTACCTTTGACAACTAGCTATCCACCTTATTCAATCACTCTGCGTTCATCCACAATAGGGATTCATAAAAAAAACCCAGTCTTGATTCCCCTACAAGAGGTAAAGCTCTCTACCCTGTATCACTATAATTGTATGAAGTTTTGGTTTTTTACTCTTGTAGATTAACTGGGTATTTGATTATTTTTGAATTTTTCGGTGTTTGAATCATATATGATTTGACAGCGTTTTTAATCATTGTTATTTTGTTACATCTTTTTCAAGTTCTTGTTGATTCTTGAATTGATGGGTCACTTAACTTTCAAGATTCCTAAATATGTTCTACTGAATATAGAAAAAGTATTCTGATAACTTGATTCTAAACTTTTATCCTACGCATTTGTATGGTTTTTCTCCATCTAAAGCTAATAGCTATGGAAACATCAAATCGATTGATGATGCAAGAGAACAAGAGCTCAAAATGGACAAGAGAACAGAACAAATGGTTCGAAAGCGCTTTGGCTATATTCGATACAGAAACGCCAGACCGATGGTCAAATGTTGCTGCTTTAGTCCCCGGCAAATCAGAGTTCGAAGTGAGACAACAGTACGAGGAATTGAAAGCCGATATCAATAATATCGAAGCCGGTTTAGTTCCCGATCCTGGCTACTTCACCTTCAAATCGGAATTACTCCAAGATCGCAGATTCAATTCTTTCGGGAGTCGACTTTTCAGGTCCAGATCATTAGATCACGAAAGGAGAAAAGGCATTCCATGGACAGAAGATGAACACAGGTGAACTCGATCTACGAACTCATACCTTCAAGTTTTTTTACGTGTATATACGACCATATAATAGTTTAAATTCGGGTGTAATAATGTCGTAATAACTCGTAAGTGATTTGTTACAGGAGATTCTTGATGGGACTTCAAGTTCATGGCAAAGGTGATTGGCGAAATATTTCTCGTAACTTTGTGGTGACAAAAACACCAACACAAGTAGCGAGTCATGCACAAAAGTATTTTGCAAGACAACATGCTGACGGGAAAGAGAAGAGGAGACCTAGCATTCATGATATCACCACCGTCCACCTGCCACGATCCACCAGTTTCTCAGGCGACATCGACAAATCATCCCCATTAATGGTTAATACACCAAATAACGGAATCAATATCCGAGCATACAATTCTGGTCTCTTTTTCCAACCTACGAGGTACCAGGTTCAAGGTTAGCCAACCCGGGTTTAATTGTGCTTGTAGTTGAGACCAATACTATAGTACTCTTTATGATCTGTACAATGTATTAATTGCGTATGATAGTATAGAAGCTTGAGTCTCTGGTTAGTTTAAAGATATACATGGTTTAAATATCGTATTAATGAGATATATATGGTTAAAATATCGAATTAATGAGCAGACAACAAACTTTCCATCTCATCAGCTATCCATTATTTGGAAAAAAGAACTTGTTTTGGAGTATGACAAAGGTTCTCACTTCATGAAATAGCCTTTTCAATTCTCTGCAAGTTGCATAATTAATAGAGCACTTTGCTCCACCATTCCATTCTATCCTTGATCAAAGCTTATATGTGGGGATGACCCATATATGTTAAAAGCTTCGAATCATATATTATGTTTATCGCATGTTTTGTATGAAATTTTGTTTAATACCCTTTATACTCTTTTTGTGTTCGTGTTCTCTTGTCTTTAATTATTGTTTGTATGCATAGCAATCGACCTATCGAGGGAAATTAAAATTGCTTAAACTATACACTACTAAAACCTACCAAAGAGAACACCCCATGTACTCATGTACAATAATACAATACACTATTAAGTTAGAAATAGTGTAAGGCTTACAAATAAACAAAAAAAAAAAAAAAAAAAAAAAAAAAAAAAAAAAAAAAAACATAGTACTCTATCTATCAAGAATACGATTTTTGGGCCTTGTTTATTCCCAAGTTTTTTTGCAAATTCAATAAAGAAAAGGGTAGAAAATTTTGACTGAAGGAAAGGGAGAGAAGGAAAATATTCATTATTTCGTGTTTCCGAGTTCGAAGGAAATGAAAGAAAAATTTTAAGTTTTTGTGCTCCCGAATTAGAAGGAAAAAGAAAATAAAACTTAAAATTTTCCTTTCCCTCACTTTCTTTCCAAATCCGTCCAATTTTAGAGAAAAAATTAAAAGTAAAATATGACTCCAAAATCATTTTCTCCCCTCACTTTCATTCTATTAATGAAACTCGAGAACACAATTTTTCTTCAACACCCCTCACTTTCTCTCCATATCCTTTTATTTCCCTCCTTAAGTACAACTCAAGAACAAAGCATAAGGGGAAGACAAGGAAAGTGAAGAGAAACGAAAAGAAAAGAAAAATTATCTTGTTCCTCAGATTATTTTTTGAAAGAAATTGGAGCCTCTTAAAGTCCTAATCTTCCACCTAATTATTTTTTAAAAGAAATTGGAGAGAATAAAATGGATGATTTTCCCTCTTAAAGTCCTAATCTTCCACCTAATTAATTGCAGAGATTTGAAAGGAAGTAGGACGGTCGATAACTAGACTTTGATTTGGGTAAGTTGGCCGGGTAAGCTACGTGCCCATTTCAGAAACTATTATTTTACACATCTCTAACTTTAATCCAACATGTAACAGAAGATGGAAATCAATGCCTATATATAAGGAGGGTAGTTTTCACACCAATCCTTTGAATTAATTTCATATCATATCATTTTCTTGTTATGACGACTTTAGAAAAATATTTCAAAACATTTATATGACTAAATCAATATATATATATATATATATATATATATATATATATATATATATATATATATATATATATGTGTGTGTGTGGGGTATCCGTTGAGTACTCATAGTTTCCCAAGAACCTGAAAACTAAAGACGGATCGTTAAATCAAAATTAACTTATTAAGGCATAATTAACATCTTACCGATCTCATTTAATTTTTTTTTTTGTTGAAAATATAAATAAAAATATTAAAAAAACAAAATAAATAAAATTTTGGATTTTTTTTAAATGGAGATTTTTTTTTTTCAGAAAACATGAATTTTTAAATAAAAATGAAAAAAATATATTTTCTTAAAAAAGTTGTAATATTTTCAGAAAAACTGTAATTTTTAAAAAGATTGCAATTTTTAAAAAAATTGCATTTTTCTAAAAAAAGAACTGTAATTATTTTTAAAAAACTACATTTTTTTCACAAAAACCTACAATCTTTTTGAAAAATCCATATTTAAAAAAAAATGCAAAAGTTTAAAAAACTGCATTTTTTATAAAAGTAAATTTTTAAAAAACAATAAATTAAAAAAAAGAGTATTTAAAATTATAA